TTGCTTTGAGATAAGAAATTGTCTTCCTTGGAAATGAATGGGCTGTTGGGTTGTCAATAGTTTTCCAATTGCCCTTTGGGGATGGGATTTGCTTTGGAGGTGTGTGGATAATTTATATCTTTGAGCTTTGACAAAGAAAGGGAAAGCCAAGCTCTTTTTGGGGGGGGTGGATAATCATAAGGAAGGAGTATGTAGTGTTTGTATGGGCTGAACAGGGGTTTGGAAGACTGAGATTCCTAGAGGGTAGGTATGGCCTTGGCAGGAAAGGAAACTTCTCATCCCTCACAGAGATGCTGTGAGCCTGGGTTCTGGATAGGAGAAACATGGGCAAGGCAAGACATTCTGAAAGACACAAGCTGGTCCCTGTTGGCAGCTGCTATGTAGGGTGGTCAGCTGTTTGTAGGAAATACCTTACAGGAAACTGATCTTGTATATCGACCTGAGGTGAAATCAGAAATCAGCCTGTCTACCACCACTGTCTGGGCCTCAGTGGGAACTTCCTCCTTCTGGTTCCAAAATGGCCTATTCTCAATGACAGCCTGCTCCTCTCATGGTCAAAGGCTTCATCGTGGTTCACATGACCACCCTGAAGCCAGTCCTCGGAACTGAGGGAAAGGGGTGATTGCTAACACCATCCATGCCATGGATACAGAGGGAAGAGCCTACTTCTTGGAACACCCTTGATTTTCCCAAAATTTAGGACTGTGCAGCCTCTAATTTTCTGAGATGATTTCTACTATGTTCCTGAGACCTGTCATGTTCTATACTGGCTGGTCAGAGAGGGCTGAGTCTAGTCCCTGACCAGCACATTTTTATCTTGATAAGCAGGGAAATAAAACACAGAGGGGGCAAGGACGGAAAGTGGGTGCCATTCTTGGAGACCCCTAGGCATGTTCCTGCCCAAGGCAACATCTGAGCGTGAGCTTCCTGTGGCCCAATAGGAAGAGGCCTGGGAGTCCTCAGGATTCAAGGGCAAACTGTCAGGTTGGGTGGTGACGCAGGGTTGTTGGCCAAGGAGGCCTGGCATTATGTTCTAGAATGTGTAGAATGTTTCCCTAAGGCCTGCTCTGACCCTGCCACCCCCTTCCTTGGCTCACCTAGATTTCCAGTTCTAGGGTCATAACACCCCAGCAATCACAGGCAGAGCCCTGGCCTGGGAGGAAGAGGCCTGGGTGGGTGCTCTTGCTCTCAGTCCAAGAATTGGGGCAGGAGCCCTCCACCCACAGTGATAAATGACCACCAGAGAAGTGTGGGCAAGCAGCCACCAACTACTAGGGCACTGCCTGGCAGTGCTGAGAAAGGCAAATAGACCTATCTAGACTCCACCCATAGACAGCTGGCCTCACCCATGCCCATAAGGAGCCCTGTACCATGGGCACCTCAAGCCAGCTATTGAAGGATCTAGCCCAAGGGGTTACCATGCAGCAGCCCCCATAGCTGGGCTGGGCCCAGGGCGCTCCCTGATATCCCCATAAAAACCCATACAGAGACAGAGGTGAGCCCCCCTCCTCCGTGGACACTTAGTGCCTGGACAGGCTGCTAAAAGGATTTGGGTTCCTGGACAGCAAGAAAGGGCCTCGAAGCAGCTGGTGCTTAAGGTCCAAACCCCTGTAGGCACCAGGACTGACTCAAAGCCAGAAGGTCCCAAATTCCAGGTCTTCTAGCATGCTGGCATCCAGCCCTCTCTGCTTACATGGGCATGTGAGCCCACCATGGGGTCTGACCCACTGGGTCTACACTCCCATATACCTTGTCCTAGGGTGTGGCTGTCTGTCTGGGACTCAATTCAGTGGAAATTGATATGTGAGCAGGAGCTGTCACTGATACCCTGGGGATGGTGGCTGAGGCAGGGGACTATCAGGCCCCCTCAACCTTGGGCAGCCTCTTCTTTCCATCTGCACAATGATGATTCCACATCCAAAGTGCTCAAGGGTCATGTGGAACAAAAGAAGCTGTGCCTTTCCAAGCTTCCCCAAGTTATTCACTGAGCTCCCACTGCGTGTCAGGCACTGCTGGACTGCATCGGGCGTGTGTGTGTGTACATGAGTGTTAATGTGAACATGTGTGTAGAGGCCAGAAGTCAACATCAGGCACTTTCCTCAATTGCTTTCTACCTTATTTTTTAAAATATTTTATTTATTATTTTTATTTTATGTATATGAGTGTATTGCCTACTTATATGCGAGTACACCCATGTCATGCAGTGCCCAAGGAAGTCAAAAGAGGGTGTCTGATCCCCTAAAACTGGAGTTATGAACAGCTGTTAGCCACCAGGTGGGTGCTAGGATTTGAACCTGGGTCCTCTGCAAGAGCAGCCAGTACTCTTAACCACTGACCCATCTCTCCAGCCCTCTAGCTTTTTTTAAATTATTTTTATTTTATGCATATATGTGTATTGCCTACATGTGTGTAAATGCACCATGTCATGCAATGCCCGCAGAGGTCAGAAGAGAGTGTCGGATCCCTTGGAACTAGAGTTACAGACAGTTGTTAGCTGGCATGTGGGTGCTGGGATTCAAACCTGGGTCTTCTGCAAGAACATTCAGTGTTCTTAAAAGCTGAGCCCTCTCTCCAGCCACCCCACCCCATCTTATTTTTTGAGAGAAGGTCTGTCACTGGACCTAAGGTTCCCTGATTTGGCTAGATTGGTTGGCACTGAGCTCCACGGATCTATCTTTCTCTGCCCTCCCCAGCACCGTGAGTGCAAATGCACTCTGTGCTCTGCCACACTTTGCTTTTCTGTGGTTGCTGGGGATCTGAACTCAAGTTCTATGCTTGCTCAGAAGGCACTTTACCCACTGAGATATCTCCCCAAGCTCCTCTTGAAGCTTGAACTTTACATGAAACAATAAATTAAACAAGAGAGCTAAGAGTTAACAAGAGAATGGGAGGACAAGGGCCAGGCTAGGCTTTTGAAAGAGGCCACATAAGGTCTTGTGGGAAGAGCCTTACCACTTCCTCATGCAGGTAGTACACACATACACATAAAATTAAAATAAATAAAAGAAGGATGTGTCAGTAACAGAACACAAGGCTGCAAGTGTAGCAGGGCCAGGAGCCACAGGCAGGATCCAACCCCTCTGCTCCCAGAAGCCTAAGTGGCATTCAGTACACTTGCTCTCCCATGGGCTGGTACTCAGAGTGGCAGCAGAGCTGGGTAGGTGAACAACTATATGAATAGGGCATGAATCCCAGCTGGCCCTCTAACTCACTGTGAGACTTCAGACAAATGTGCCTCACTTTCTCTATGTATAAGATGCCTTATGAATCATGATTCCAATGAAGGCTGAATCATGATTCCCTCATGAAGGCTGAATCATGATTCCCTCTTGAAGGCTGAATCTTTTTCTCTCAGACTGTGAGGATGCAGCCAGCACTCTGGGCCTAGTAGGGATGGCATACCAAGTGAGACCAGCAGTCCCAGCACCCACACAACAGCTGGGTTCCACCCTCCATCTAGAACCCTTCTCCGTGTCGTTTTCTCATTTTTCCTATACTGTGCACCTGTAGATGCACTAAACCTTCTGTGATAATTGTTCTTACTTGTCAACTTGATGGGAATTTAGAACCACCAAGGACACAAACGTGTGTGTCTAAAAGAGTGCTTACAAAGAGGTTTAACCAACCAGAGAAGACCCATCCTGAGTGTGTGTGGCACCATCCCATGGTCTAGGGTCTTGAACTGAATAAAAAGGAGAAACAGAGTTGAGCACCACCATTCCTTGATCTCTTTCCTGGCAGTGGATACAATGTGACTACCTGCCATATACTCCTTGTTGTCATGCCCTATAACCTCACTTCTGCCCACCCACCTCACCTCTGCCCCACCCACTTCACTTGTACACCATCCCACCTTACATCTGTCCCACCCACCTCGGCTGGGGCTCCACCTCAGCTGTGCTCTCGAGGCAACCTCACTGTGAGGATCACATAGCCTGGCTCTATTCCCACCCCCAAAAGCAGCTGGTGGAATCTGTTAAGACCCCCAAGCACCTTACCTGTCTAGAGTCCCCAGCTTGGGGTGCTGAGCCAAGGAAAGAGTCTCCTGAAGTCTACGCCACCTACACCACTGCCCCAACCAGAGCTGGGTGAGACTCGGCTGTTTCCTTCAGTAGTAGCTGTAAGACCCTAGCTCCATCCCTCCCAGAGGTACTGTGCAGTATGGAAGTGCTCTGCTTGCCTTGCCTCCCTGAGCATGTTTCCTCAGGGTGGAGTAGGACCACAATATCCACCTCAGCATGGTAAGCCTGGGGCAGAGACCCAGGTGTTTGTAAGCAACTGCCAGGCAGCCCCTGCCCAGTCCAGTCAGCTCTTGCAGACTTCATCTGTATTCCCACAGCTTACCTGTATCCCATCCACTTCACCTGTGCCCCATCTCACCTCAGCTGTACCCTGTCCACCTCACCCGTGACCCATCTCACTGCATCTGTACCTCGTCCACTTCACCTGTGTTCCATCTCACTCTACCTGTGTCTTATATACCACACACTTATTCCATCCCACACCTCAGCCACGTCCACCCTCACAGCTGTCTCACCTACCTCAGCTGGCGCTCCACCTCATCTATGCTCTCCAGCCTCACCTATAACCAGCACCCATTTCTGGCCTTAAACCCTCTCAGTCTACCAGGTAGTTCCTCTATATGTCTGCTCAGTTGTCCTTAAATAGTGCCACGTAATGCTAGGAGATAGGAATCCTGAGGGACCAAAATCCCATCATTGGTCTATAAATCCCCCACTCCCCTAAAAGCTCTCAAGAGCTCTGGTGCAAACAGCACCCCCACTCCCATGTCCTTGTTACCACATCTTGAATGCTGGTACTCCCACCCTGCTGTAGGGCTCAATTGCCCAGCTACTTCCTGCAGGACCAGGATGCAGAACTGTTTTCTAAGACAAGTATGTGGTCCATGCCATCCTGTCACACTTGTCCCTTATCCTTCCACAAGCTGCCCACCCTGAGGGGACTCGCAAAGGAGTGGGATTGAAGGTGCTGAGTCTGTGTCCACTTGCTAACAGCAAGTATTTATTTATGCTGACAAGCATGGCTTCTGCCCACAGAGGGGCCAGCTCCAAATCTCACAAGCCTGCCACACAGATGGAAGGACAAACCTCCCTATAAAGCTTCTGAGTGTGGCTGTCTGGGAATGGTGGGACAAGCAGGCCCTCTGCTCCCTGCTCTCCAAAGTACTCAACAGGGGAAGTGGGTGAGGCGAGGCTTCAGGAGAGGGCAGAGTGGGGAAGTGGAGCCCAGGGGAGTTAGTCATGGTTCAGCTCACTCAATGGGAACAGATGGGCAATGGCCATGACAGGCCACAGGCAGCCGTGCCTTACCTAGGGCAACTGCACACCAGGCTAGACAAGGCCACTGGGCAGTGTTCATACAACCTATTTGTGTCTTTTGGGGCCAGTGTCACCACATAGTCTGCTCAGGCCACATTTGCTTTGTGGTGACTGGGCTCCCTGATCTGACCACAATGCTGGGGCTGGAGCCAGAGGCTGAGCCTTTGTCTAAGATTTGTGGGGTACCCCTGGACCTGTATCTACTCTAGGCCCCAGTTTTCTGCCCCCCAAAGTATAGGGACCCTCCAGGGCCAACTCTCCTGGTCTCTAGGCCACCAGTCCATCCTCAGTGGTCCCAGGAGTCCTTCAATCCTTCACATGGCTTCTAATGTCACCAAGAAGAGAACATAGGCCCAAGGCAGCAATGCAAAGGGCCATAGAAGGCTCTGTTCATGGAGTGTCGGTGCTTGCTGGGGCCTGGGGCTGAAAGGGGCCTGGGCTGACCCCAGTTGTGTCCCCTTGGGCAGCGGTGCTCAGAGCTTCCAGCCAGCACTGCTGAAGCTCTGTGGAGGGGGCACTCAGCCACCAGGTCTTTGGGCCCTGATGCAGCTTCCAGACATGCCCTGCATCCAGCCCCGCTTCAGGGTCAGGCACACTCACAGTGCAGCCAGGGAGAGGAATGGTACATGGCAGCCCAACAACCTGCAAGAAAGACAAAGGGTCGGGGGGGCTCGGGTTCATGTTAGTCCCCAGCCCCACATAGTGCAGCTTAGTCCAGAAAGGCTGACAGACATACCCAAGCCACCCGGTTACAAGGACAGTTTCTCTTTCAGGGAGGTGCTGGGAGGTGACTCTGTTTACCTCTCTAGACCTCCCCAGAATCTACAGCTTCTCTCAGACACCCAACCCCAGGGAAGATGAGGCAGGATAGCCCCTGTGACTAGCAACTGGAGTTGAGAGGGGCAGGGCAAGGATCAGTAGTGCCCAATTGCATCCACCCGGATGTATGGATGGATGATGGGGTAAATGAATGAATGAATTTGAGTGGGAAGAGGGGCCAGCGTCTGTGTCACCTGCCTACCCCTGCTTTCACCCTGGCTGTCTTTAGGATCCTGGTGTTACAGGAATTAATCTATTGTGAGTGAGAGCTAGAGTGTTATTCTGGGAATGGGGGGGAAATTGAGGCCCAGGTCACATTGCTGGAGAGATACATACCTGGCTGTCTCCTTGCAGGTCCAGCACCTGGGGATCTGACTCAGGGATGGATGCCCACACTTCACTCCAGGCTGTACCATTGTCTGATAGACGCAGTGAGCCACAGAGCAGGCTAGGCTGGGGATCCACAGAGGGTGGCTTCTGGAGACAGAAATACAGGTCGGGGTGGTCTCACCTGTAGTGGTCACTTTGTCCCCTGAGGAGGCTGAGACAGGACAAGGGCTGGTGCTTGGAAGGAGGTAGCCACAGAGACATGGCTGAGGCATGGACACAGTCTGGAGGGGTCACTGGAGGCCAGTGGGAGGGGCATGAGTGCCATGTGGTCTCAGGTAGTATTTGTCTCTGGGCCCTGAGGGGAGTGAGACTATGGCAGGTTAGGACAGCATCAAGGTATCAGAGGAAGCCTGAAAACAGTGATTCATGCCTGTTATCCCAGCACTTGGAAGGCTGAAGCAAGAGGATTGTAAATTCCAGGCTGGGCTGGGCTACATAGCAAAACAAAACCCAAAATACAAAATATAATCAGGGTGAAATTCAGGGGAATATGGGTTATAGGGTGAAGGGACCATGCATATTACAGTTTGGCACCCTCAACACACACAGACTGTATACTCAGACACCACCACCCCTGTCTTGTATACCACACCAGTACATATACACATGGACACACACATCACATGCATGTACATATACACCTCACATATATCCCATGTAGACCCTGCTTCTCTTCTGATGTGGTTTAGCTCTATCATGGAGACAAGTTCCCTGAGCCACTTGGACATGGTTCTGATACCTCTTGATAGTGCTGGTTCCCCCTAAAACTCAGTGCCCCTCCAAGGCCTGAGCCTATACCCCCAGGGCTCCCAGAATACATCTCAGGATTGAGAGTAGAGAGTGAAGAAGAGCCAGAGGGTAGGGTCAAGGCCTCACCATGAAGGCCAATGCAGAGCCCTGGTCCCAACAGCCTTATGTCCTTGACTTCCCAGGCAGATTTGCCAGGGTGGCAAGAGGTTTGACAGCTGCTGACCTAGCTCATTCAGACCACCCCATGCCACTTTTGGGAGGGAAACTGACATTACAGAAAGCTCCCAGGAGACTCCAGCTTGCAGCTGGCTACATACATCAAGTGGAAATTAGGGAGAATGTATTTTTAATGGAAAAGGGCAATTTTCTTTTTCCAGATGTCCTGAGACTACATAAAAGGGATTGTGTCCTTTAAGAAGGAGGCTGGGAAAGCAGTGGCCATACCCAGGGAGAAGCAGAGGTGTTGGCAATGGAGGAGTCCCCCAACCCCTCTCCCAGCTCGTGTTTTCCCTGACCTCAATGCCTGGACTTAAAGGCCATGCTGCACCCTCTAGTCAGTCCAGGAGTAGGGCTGACATGTGTTTCCATCTAACTCCTAGTGCAAGTGGTTCCTAAGCCCTTACCCTGACTAGTCCCCTGAAGTCCTAAGATACACACATGCTCCAAGTGGCTTGCCCTGATTCCAGGCCTCTGGACTACTCTGAGATGCCCCTGCATCTGTCCTGATCCCAGGAACCGGGGCTACCCACCTCTGTGTTTGGCTTGAGCTCAGTGGGAGCCTCAGTGCTGGGACTCGTGGGGACTGTGGGCTCTGTAAGGAAACACCCTCGACAGACACGGCTCTGCCTGCTGTTCTCAGCCTTGAACTCGGAGCACTTCCCACAGATGACCTGCAAGACAGAGAGTTCCTGTGAGCAGGCATCCTGGGTAGGGGAAGAGAGAGTTATAGGTATATGGAGGGCCAAGACTTGTCTTAGGGTGCCAGTAGCCCCATCTAAGGGAAGAGAGTGAGTTTAGTCTCCCTGGACACCCAGAACCTATCTATCTATCTATCTATCTATCTATCTATCTATCTATCTATCTATCTATCTATCTATCTATCATCTATCTATCTATCTATCTATCATCCATCTATCTACCATCTATCTATCAATCATCTATCTATCTATCTAATCTATCTATCTGGGCGTCTATCTATCTATCTATCTATCTATCTATCTATCTATCTATCTATCTATCTATCTATCTATCTATCTGGGCGTGTATATCCATGTGGGCCACTGTACACATGTGGAGGTCAGAGGACATCTTGTAGGAGTCAGTTCTCTCCTTTTACAATGTGGGCCCCAGGATTAAAAAGTCTTCAGGCTTGACAACAAGCCCCTTTGCCTGCTGAGAGGACTCATCCATTATTCTTCCCTTGCCCTACCCCAGCCAGCATAGTGAAGTTTTATGAAATGGTGTATCAGGGAACACCAATCTGCTCTCATCCTTTGGAAAAGCATCATTAACTCTATGGTTAGATCCCTCTCCCTCTCCCTCTCCCTCTCCCTCTCCCTCTCCCTCTCCCCTCACTTTTTCCTCTCCTCTCCTCTCCTTTCCTCTCTTCTCACTTTTTCCTCTCCTCTCACTTTTTCCTCTCTTTCCTCCCTCAGATGCAACTTTGATATCTGTGATAATTTGGTTTTGATGGCAGCTTGCCACAGATTGGAATCAACTGAGTAGGGAGCCCTCACCTGAAGAACTATCTTTTTGAAAACAAAACAAAACAAAACAACAGGGTCTCCCTGCAGCCCTGGCTGGCCTAGATAGCCCAAGCTGGCCTTGAATTTAGAGAGATATGCCTAGGCCTCCTGAGTGCTGGGATTAAAAGCCACCATACCCAGCTGAAGAATTGTCTTAATTGATGTATGAAAACCCACCCTAAATGTAGGCAGCACCTTCTGATAACAGTCCAGATAAAAGGGGTATGGCAGAAGGAGGATTATTCCCTTTTTGTTTGTTTGGCCTTCCCTCTCACCATGGAGTTGATTTATTTATCCTGTTGCTGCTGCTGCTGACATTGGAGCCAATGTTTCTGAGTTTCTACTACAGACTAAGGGCCAGTGGCTATTCAGGAACCCTCTGGGTTTTTGGCACTAGATTTGGACTGCTGAAGCACCAAGCCCTATGGACTGAGCAACTACTGGGGTCTCAGCCTCTCCTGTGTGAGACAGCCCGGGCGGGATCTTCTGGCTACTACGGCACCACCCAGCCTCAAGGACCAAGAAACTACCAGGTTTTAAGCCTCTCAGGTGAGATGCAGCTGTTACAACTTTGAAGTAAAGCTGATTAATAAACAATATATAATCATCCTGTCCTGTTCCTCTAGAGAACCCTAATACAATATCTAATTCTAAAAATACTTGAACCATAAGTTCCTTCCTCAAGTTATTTTATGCTCAGTATTAAGCAATGACTCAGTAGCTTATTCTCAGGAGCAAGGGCTTTGGGGTTGACAGAGGAGAAATGGAGCTGGCATATGTTTGGGATATCAGTCAGAGGTGGCCCCTCATTGCATGGTCCCACCAGAACCTCCTGGCATTGGAACATTCCCACCATGATCAAGCCGTCCACCTTCCCCCATCTCCATGATACCTTGTACAAGGGTACTGGCATCCTTTCACTATCATCATCTCATGCACACCCAGATAAGGGCACTGTGGTTCCAAATCTAGCACTTTTAAAGCTGGAAGGAATGTTTGTAAGACACTGGAGCTGCCTAGAGATTAGCTTCTACTTCAGAGGGATAGTTTCAACTCAAGAGATTCTGCATCCAGGAGATGATGTGGTTTAAATGTGCAATGCCCCCATAGGCTAATGGATGTGAACACTTGGCTGGTGCTGCTGTTTTAGAAGGTTGTAGAATCATCTTTAGGAGATGGAGCCTTACTAGAGGAAGTGAATCATTGGGGCAGAACTTAATGTTTGATAGCCATCCCCACTTCTGTTCTCTTTTCTGCTTCTTGACTGAAAATACACAGGATCAACCACCTCATTCTCCAGCCACCATGCCTTCCCTGCCATGATGGACTGTATCCTCATAAACTATGAACCAAAATAAACCCTTCCTCCTTTCAGTTGCTTCCTATCAGGTATTTGGAGGTCTTGCAGGGCTGCTGTATGGTCCACAGAGCCCCCTGGTGTGTACATGAATGGCCCTTCAGAAATGTATGCCACCTGCTGGTAGTGGCTGCCACCTACCCACAAAGACCTGTGAGAACCAGGGAGTGGCTACCTGCCACTTCCAAGCTGCTCCCTCCCTCTTGCCTTGAGCTTACCGCTCCACACAGCTTGCAGTGATGTCTCCTCTTGGTGATGGAGTTGAAGGTCTCATGACAGCTCTTACAGCTCGGCTTCTCTTTGTCACGCCTGCTCTTAGAGGACAACTTTCTGGACTCGATCTACCAGGAGGCAAGTGGCCATCAGTTTCAGAATGTAAGTGTACAATGACCCACTGGGACATGGAGGGGCAACTCGGGATTCCGCACGTGACCACACCCAGGGCAAGAGTAGACATTGCAGAGGGGAACAGGTAGGACTAAGGCAGCCATACCTCTCCCCAGCCCTGCCCCAGGGCTGCCCCACTGCATGTATGGCCTGGAGCAAGATTCTAAGAGGTCAAGACTACTTAGCCAATGACTTTACCTGTTGTATCTGAGAAAATAGCAATTTTCTGTAGGAAAATGTACTGGGATGGGCAGGAGTCTACACAGATGACACCTGCTGCCAGGGACTGGGGTGTCCCTGACTGCAGCTGAGGGACCACATGTGTCCCCAGATCCTGAACACCATCCTTCACTCAACTACATGCTTGCTCTGTGTTGAACATGTGTGGACAGGCATACTATATGCATAAACACACATGTACACCCACATGCCTGAGTGTGCCAGTCACACAAAAGCATTAGAGAAGGCATGTGAGGAAACCAAGCAAGCTGAGATGGCATTCAGACTTGACTCCTTGCTGTGTCCTCTCCAACACTGCCTGAACTCAGGACAGTGATATGGAGGGCAGGAGCAGGCTCACCTGGGCCACCCAGTTAGGTCTGAGTTTCCCCGTCTGACTATAGGCAGTGCAAGGTCAGAGATGGACCCCAGGATAGATGGGTCACTTCTCTAAGCCTTAGTTTCCTCATCTATAAAATGGGATGAGTGACTGATCCCTGGGCTGTATCTAAAACATACTAAAATCAACCCAGAGGCTGGTCTCTACCAAGTGTGGACAAGGTGGTTCCCTTAGCATGTCTGCTTTGACAGGTTAGCTGCAAAGCTGGGAATTGGTGGAATAGCTTGGCAGTTCACTTGGACACAGGCCAAGGGCAGGTATAGCCTGAGGTCATTCCAACAAGAGGTGGCTGGGCCCAGACAGGGCCAAGTCTGGTCCCTCTACAGGCATTTCTGCTCTGGAGCCCAATGGTGGGCATAGGATGGGACCATCTCCAGCACTGTGGGGAAGCTACTGGCATGAGGGCGACCAGGGATGGTGCTTCGATGGCATCTTGGATGGGTTTATGTTCCACTCACACTAGGTCTGGAGCTCTGTAGGGGGGCTTTCAGACTCAGTTGTGTGTTGGGAGGTGTGGGTGTGAACACTTTTGTTAAGAGCAACTGGACTTTTGCAGAATGCGGAAGACTGAATTCTTCTGCAGGGGCACTTGCAAAACTTCCTGGTTGGGATTTAGCATCTCTTAGGAAAGAGCTGACAGGGGCTGTACATCTGAAGACATCTGGGCACAGGAAGTGAACCCAGCACACTGAAGGGATTTCCTCTCCAAACATGCCAAGAAGCAGTGTAAGTTTGGCACCCATGGTAAAGACCATTCTGGCTGCAAAATGAAAACTTGCTTTTGAGCATCTTGTAGACGTCTTCTGCACACAGGTGAACCCTGCTATGCTCACTCAGTGCAGGTCCACAGGCGCCCCCACCCCCAGTCATCCAGAGTACACCCAAAATCTCAGCTCAGCTCAGCTCAGATGTGCTCAGGAAAGGCCCCGAGGGGAAGTACATGGCCATGGCCATGGCAGCACCCAGAGGCTTCAGCCAAAGCTGCAGGCCTGTTGTTGTGGAGCTGTTTTCTGGATTAAGGGTTGGCCTCAGCTTGGTATAGGTGAAGGGACAGGGAAAAGGACATCAGAACTTGACATCAGGATGCTGTGGGATAAACACTCTAGCATCTGTAGAAGGCTGTGGCTGTGGGCAGGAACAGGCAAAGCAAGTAGGCCAGACCAGGTATTCAAATATGGCTGTGGCACCCAGAACATATGATGACCACAGCCTGACCCAGGCAGACCCTGGATGTGGTTTGAAGGGGCTTCCAGGTGCCTCCTCTCAATCAAAGGAGGTGGGCAGCCAGCAGGAACAGCCCCTATGTCAGATATCCTAAAGCTTCCCTGATCTCCATCCCAAGGGAAACTCAGGCTAGGGTGGGCAAAACTTGCCTAAGGCCTTAATCCAGGGCCAATTCTGAGCCTGTCTTTCTAGAGGGTGAAATGTTTTCAAACATGGCCTTTCAGCTCCCTTCTAGCTGCATCCTCCTAATCTGGGAACCCACCCGCAGTTGGTCTCTGCTGTGGGATATCCCACATGCAGGGACCAAGTGCTAATGCCCTCAGGATAGCCCCAGGCACCACTGTCCCTATAAATGACCCCAAACCCAGCTTGCCCCTTTGCATGCCTGCAACTCCAGGAGCCTGAGGGTCCCCTCACTAGGCCCTGTGGGCTAAACCTGGTAGGGAATTGCATGAACCAAGAGCTGGTGGCTTACATGGGTCTGGATGCCATGGCTACCAGTTGGTGACCAGGAATGCCTTGACAGGCCCATTCCAGGGCTAAGGACCAGACAGTGTAGGAACAGAGTCTAGGGTATCATCAAGGAGATGGTCACAGATGCCCATCCTAGCCTAGAAATGTGGGGCTGGCTAGGGAATACTTTGTATACATGTTTGCATGAACTGCTGAGCTCATTCTGACCAGGTGACCATGCACTCTTCTGGAAACTCAATATGTGGGTTCATCCACATACCCACAAGCTTCAGGAAAGGGACTAACAGGATTGCAGGTTAGCAACTTGAAGGTTGCTTTTGGGTTGGTTAATGTGAGAAGCACTTATCAAGGACCACTGGCACAGGCCACAAGGCTTCTAGGATGTGGGCAGAGCCTATAGGAGGCACAAAGCCCCTGGGGCCTGGTAAAATGATGGGAGGCCAGGATGTTGCCAGTAGGTGGCAAGAAGCAGGCCCAGGCAAACTGAGCAGGAAGCCACTGGGGTTGTCTAGATGTTTGTTTCCCCACAGGCTGCCCACACCACATTCAGACTTTCAGTTTCAACAAAACTCACCCTCAGGATGTCTGTCTGCTCTGCAGACAGCAACAGCCCTTCAGTAAGGGGAGGTCTCTCCTCTTGCCCAGTTCCTATTTATCTTGGGGTTCCCCTTTTCCCTTCCTTGACATGCCCCTGAAATGCTTCGTCCCTCCCTGAAGTCTCATAAGCATATTCAAGGTGGCCTGATATGAGTCAGCCTGACTTCATATCAAGGGACTTGGGAAAGGCCGAGTCACAGGGAAGGGGGACAGCAATATCCAGTCCACCCTGAAAGGCCATGGCTCTGCCCATGGGGACCAACGTTACCCCACTGAAGAGGACCTAGGGCAGGACAACCCAACCGTGCCCTTCACTACAGGTGGCTCTGTCCATGACCTTCATCTGCCTTACAGTAGTTTAGCTGACTGCCTTGCACCTATATCCACTTCTTTATGGGAATCAGAACTGAGCAGCCATAACCTAAAAAGGCCATAGTTTCAGTGCTCCAGAGCTGAGTCAGTAGCTGCTCTAGGCCTCATCCTGTCCCTAATGCAGTGAGACAGAGAAGAGAAATAGAGAAGAGGGAGACAGACAGAAGCAGAGAAGAGACAGGGAGAGACAGAGCCACTGTGAAAGAGAGACACAGAGACAGAGACAAAGTGAGGAGCAGGCAGAGAGCAAGCATGAAGGAGGGGAGGCAGGTGTGTGGAAAAGAATGTTGGGCTGTGCACCAAGGTAGTATCAAGGGACACCAGGGAGAAGAGCCATGTCGGAGATGGGATGGGGAGAGCCCACCCAGGTGACACCCAGTCATTCTTCCTGAACCAGTAGTCTAGCAGGGCCCAGCAAGGTGCCAGGAGAACTGTTACTCCAACCTGCAGGTGAAGCTATAGCTCAGAGTTGTCACAGCTTCTGTCACCACAGGTGCTGGTGAGTGTGGAACCCCAGGGTGATGATGTGGCTCAGGTGCCAGTGCTCACTGTAGGCAAGCATGTAAGTGCCTCAGTCTGTTTAACCTCCCCAGACTACAATGGAGGAAGCAGAGCCAGGTCCCATGGCTAGTACCTGGCACAGCTGCCTGGCTCTGAGCCATGCATTCAAAAGCACAGAGGGAGAGAGATGGGGAGCCCCAGGCTCCCTGACTGCCAGCTCAGCTTGCAGGTCCAGGGTGAAGGACAGATTATACTATGTGTGATGTCTACCAGCAGGCTCCCTTCTAGCCTCTACCTCTGGCACCCAAGTCACCAATGCCTAGCCTCAGCCTCACACCTGCACACCCAGGTGCTGAGTGCAAAGCAGAGAACAAACTAACTCCTGGATCCTCACCCTCCAGGTTACCTAGGTCTGATCACTGCCCCCAACAGCAGCAGGGTAGGGGTCACTCACCCCTGCAGTACCCCCACTGCTGTCTGTGACCCCTGCAGGCTCCACAGAACTTGTGCTCAGGACCTGGAAAGAAACAGATATGAATGAAGAGCAGTTCCCATGTCCCGTGTAGCAGGGGCATTTCCTCCACCTAGCAACTCTGTGCAGTGAGGAGAGATGACTGGACTAATAAATGCTGGAAGTTGGGAGCCATTGAGTTGAAGGTGCCTGGGATAATTAGTGTTCTTATGAGGTGGGCATGGGTAGGCGAGGCTTCCATAGCTCACTGAACAATCATCCTGCGTGGCAGGGTGAGGATGCTCTCCTTATCCTCCCTGTCCATGTGGAGAGTCTGCGGAGCTCGGATGCAGCTGATGAACAACAGCCTGCACTATACCCTCTATCCCTAAGTCACCTGCCCTTGGGGAGCTCACAGGACTCTTTCTTCCCAGGAAGAGTGCTGACTTTTCCTCCAAAATGCACCCAGGAAGCATTAAAATGGAAGCAGGTTTGAGGCAAGAATGAATGGGAAGACCCTCTGGGAGTGCAGGACAGACAGCTGGAACTAGGTACAGTTTGAGGAGATAGGCTGGGGGTGGTGTTCTTTCCAGATGCACCCATAAGTGTGGACGAAGTAGTCCACAAAGGCTGATGTTGTGGGGGGCTTCATCGTCTTTCCTGAATGCCTCTTCCCAGTTTTTTTTTTTCCCCCTCTAATTCTCAGGTGCAATTCTCAGGACCTCCTCACACAGCAGAAACCAGCCTCCATATCTAGTTTGCTCTCTCTAATTTTGTGGAAGCCCCAACATGAGGATGGCCACTCCAGTCCCTACCTCAGTCCTGTCTTCCTCCTGTACCCCTGGAGGCACTCCATAAGCCATTCCTGCAACTCTCCACAAAGGGTTTTGAGCTGATACCTTGGGGTTATATTTGGAGAGAAAATACAACCACAAAAACCTACAGTTACTTGCTATTCAGAGTGGAGTGTCAGAAGGGCACTGTGGCCTGGGCATATCACTGAACTTCTGAGACTCAGGTTCCATAGGGAAAAGATAAAAGCTCTCTCAATGCACAGGGCTGCAATACCAAAGGCACCAAGATGACAAAACAGCACCAGAGAAGTGTTTCCCACAAAACAATGGGTCAAGGAGGCTGCAGTGATGCTCAGTACATGGCGGGCAGATGAATGTTTTTTTTTTTTTTTTGGTCTTTTTTGAGACAGGGTCTCCCTGTAGCCCCAGCTGTCCTGGAACTCACTATGTAGACCAGGCTGGCCTTGAACTCACAGAGATCCACCTGCCTCTACCTCCCGAGTGCTGGGATTAAAGGTGTGCGCTACCACACCCGGCAGATGAATGTACTTTTGAGCTGTCCCCCACCCCTGGGTCTCTCTCCCTGGCCCCATCTTCCCTTGATGCAGGCTGCTGACTCACAGGTTGGTCTGGAGATAGGCTGGGCTCCTCATCCTGGCCGCAGGCACCACCGAAGGCTCTGAAGGTCTCACTCTTCTGTTTGTGCTTCTCTATGGTGGCCTGAATGACCTGGACACACAGCAAAGCCTCAGGGCTGTCAGAGGGCTGGGGAAGGATGCTGAGAGCACACAGTCTAGGTGTCCATCGAGAACCCCTGACCCTCTTATCCTGACCAATGACTCAGACTGCCTTGAAGCCAGCCAGACTAAAGAGACAACAGGTAGCCCCTGGCCCATGCAGGCCCTTTCCTGCTCTTTACTTAAAGAGGAGGGGCTCAAACAGCTGGATTGAAAGGCCTGTGCCACTTGAAACCACAGATGAAGGCTCATCACGGTCACTGCCTCCTTCTGGGGTGGGATACGGGGACAGGGAATGCTAGTGTGGGGGAGGAGTTCCCGGGCCACATCTTCTAACATGAAATGGTACTCTACAGTAACTTGGGGAAGTAAGCCAGATACGATGATGTATGCTTGAAATCTCAGCCTTCAGGATGCTGAGGCAGGAGAATCAAAAGTTTGAAGCCATCCTGGACTACCTATCAAGACTCTATTTGAAAAAAAAAGTTAGAAATGTAGCTCAGTGGGGAGCATTTGCTTAGTAGGCATGGGCCCTAGGTTTGATCCCCAAGAAAGAGAGAGAAAGAAAGACAGAAAAAGAGAGAGAGAGAGGGAGCTTTACCTGAATCCATTCTTTCTTCTCTTCTTCTGTCCTACGAAGACAAAACCCAGTATTTTAATAATCTACCCTTGAATACTATCAATCTCTCAGACCTGCCCATCTACCCAGTCAATCACTGTCTTGTAGCTCGAGGTTGGAAAGGTAGTTCCAAATGTTCAGAGCACTTGTGGCCCATGGGGCCAGGCTTGCCTTGTAGATCAACAGCACCCTGAACCCTGACACATGATCATAAAGCTCTCATGCCACAGGTACAATGTAGCAGACCAGATCTTCACACGCTGACCAGCAGCTCTCTCTCAGAAATGCATCTCACAGCAGCAGTGACACATGTACAAAAGCCTAAGTATAGGGACTCTGTTCACATCCGTTTGCAGAGGTGAGACCCAGAGGAGCCAAGTTTCTGTCCATGGAACCTGGTTAATGGTCTTTTTAAAAAATATTACATTTTAAGCCAGGTTTGGTGGCACACGCCTTTAATCCCAGCACTCGGGAGGCAGAGGCAGGTGAATCTCTTTGAGTTCGAGGCCAGTCTGGTGTCCATAGAGAATCCAGGCCAGCTTCAGCTACAGGGAGACCCTGCCTCAAAAAGACAAAAAAAATTTACATTTTAATTAATTTTGTGTGTGTATGTGTGACTGTAGGGGCGTGTGGCATATGTGTGATGGTCAGAGGACAACTTGCAGGCATTAATTCTTTCCTTCCATCATGTTGGTTCTGGGGATGGAACTCAGGTCTTAAGGCTTGACAGCTAGAGCCTTTACCTGATCAGTCATCTTGCTGGTCCCTGGTTAATGAGGTTGAGGGGGATTATGTTAACCTGGGAAATGATTTAAGGTTATGGGATGCATCCTAAAAATTAACTTTAAAAAGCAAGATGTGGAACAGGCTATTTAGTAACAGTCGTGTGTGAGTGTGTGTGTGTGTGTGTGTGTGTGTGTGTGTGTGTGTGTAGGACAGAGGTTGACATTGGGTGTCTTTCTCAATCACTCTCAACCTTATTTTTTGAGACAGCACTGAACCTGAGCTCACTGATTTATCTAGGCTGGCTAAAAAGCAAGCCTCAGGATCTGCTTGTTTCCACCTGGGATTACACATATGCACTATTATGTCTGGCTTCTTATGTAGGTGCTGAGGATCTGAACTCAGATCCTCAAGTTCGAGTGGCAAGCACTTTACCTACTGAGTCATCTCCCTAGTCCCCATCTTTGATTTTGAAATGTGTGTGTGTGTGTGTGTGTAATATATATGTATAGCCATTTCCAGGCAGCCACTTAAGAGATGGTGTGTGCCATACCGAGTCTGAAGCTCCAGAGACCTTTTTCTTCCTGTTATAATGAATGTGTGTGCTGCGTTTGGTTTCATAATGTCTTGTACCTGCAGGAACGAAAACATGGAACAGAATGATGTTAATTCAGTATTTTAGCTGTTCCCCAGCTCCAGTCCCATGTTCTCTGATTCAGAGGTTTGGTGCTTATTTTCCCTATGGAGGTATCAGAGGTGGCCCCATGGGCTCTCAGACTTATAGGGGAGGGGATATTGAAACTCAGGGCCTTGTGGCCACTGTCTGAGCCAGCCTGTAGAAGAAGGCAGACCAGTGGCCTTGCCCACACAGAGCTGGGACTGTTTAGACTGCTGCTGAGCAATGCACCTGCCTGCCAGGCATCCCTGGCCCAGCCTTTCCCCACCAGCATGCAGGGGTCCACCTCCCAGCACAGCTGCACCCCTTAGGAGGGATGAAGATCTTAGGAAATGATCCCTATGTCTGCCCCTTAGCAGATGTTTGAGCCCACGTGGGTATGTGCATTATGAATTTAAAGGTGTGCGCCAGACAGAACTGAGGAATGCGGTCACTTCCTTTTCGGCTTTTTTACCCTTTCTCAACATCACATGACTGAAGGTTACAGTGGCCAAACCTTTGCTCCTGACAGCTCTTGGGCTGACCCCTGTCAGAATCCCCACCCCTAATCAGCCAGGTAGAGTCTTCCAACTTGGAAATGAAGACACTGGACCCATACTGAAACCTCTGGACATTCCCACCACAGGTTGAGAACTAAATTAGCCTATTCAAGTCATTAAAACAGTATTGGTTTCTTTTTTAAAGATTATGTTATTTATTTGTGTATATGTATGTGGGGGGGTGGTATATGTACATGAGTGCAGGTGTCCTTGGAGTCCAGGAGAGGGCTGGAGTTACAGGCAGTTGTGAGTTGCTTAATGTGGGTGCTGGGAACAAACTTAGGTCCCCTGGGAGAGCAGCAAGAGGGTTTTTTGGGGAGGGGTTTTTGTTTTGTTTTTTTTTTACCACTAAGCCATCTCTCCATTTCCAGGACTGAATTCTTATAGAACAACACTGCAAAAATGGTTTCTTCTAACTATGGAAAAAGGATCCAGACAAATTCAAGGGAACTTCTATGGAGTAGGTAGTGATTTAAACAGATCTTTGCTTTTTTAAATGGTTAAACACCTTCAAATAACAATTATTTTAGAGAAATTATTAATTCAAAGCCCTCTCCATAGCAGATGGAATCCATTCCAGCCCTGACTGTCACAAGATATGGAACAGACTCCTGGACCTAGCGGACAGCAAAGATGTAAAGGCACCTGCACAGCATTTTCTGAGTCAGAGATGATGCAGGGCAGGAAAGAGCTCAGGAGTTGGGGCCCAAGCCAGATGAGCAGGCCCACACTCCATTCTGAACTCACGCTATGGCCTGAATATCCCTCTGGGTCTGTGTTTGGGGTCCTGAGTCCCCATAGGTGATACTCCACCTCTGCTCCATGTGTCCCCCAAAGCTGTGCACTTTAGTTTCAGTCTCCTGCTCCTCCTTCTACATGAGGCCATTAGGAACTTGGCAAATGGGACAACCCTAGACTGTAGGGAATTCTATCCATCCAGCCCAGTACACCAGGGACAAGATGATGTTCCAGAAACCCCTGAGTAACAGATAGAGCTGGCAGTGAGAGCCATCCCAGCGTGTGTTCCTTCTAGAGAGAGGGTAGGGGAGAGAAGGAACCACCCACCTGGAGATCAGAGATGTCCATTTTCTCCCGGACACTGAACTTCTGGCCCATGAGCCGTAGTTTGGGCACACAGTAGAGCATCATGCTGTTGAACTGCAAGAAAGATGGCATGGGGGAGGGGGCACAGGGAACCCCTCACAGGGGACCCATATAATCTTTGCTTTGATGCCATAAAGTAAAACACAGTTTTAAAAATATGCACACAGGGGCCAGGCATGGTGGCATACACCTTTAATCCTAGCACTCAGGAGACAGAGGCAGGCAGAACTCTGTAACATCAAGGCTGTAACATCAAGGCCAGCCTGGCCTACACTGAGAGTTCCAGGCCAGCTGGGGCTACATAGAAACCCTGTCTCAAAAAAAAAAAAAAATTCAGCAGGACATGGTAGCGCACGCCTTTAATCCCAGCACTCGGGAGGTAGAGGCAGGTGGATCTCTGTGAGTTCAAGGCCAGCCTGGTCTACATAGTGAGTTCCAGGACAGCCGGGGCTATAGGGAGACCCTGTCTCAAAAAGACCAAAAAAAAAATCAAAAAACATATGCACACAATTTTTCTATTTTGTCTTTGAGTGAGGAGATTATAGATGACAGTTTTATTTTTGTCCAATTCCTATTTTCAGTCTGTCCATCATCCACATGAGCTCATTGTGTGATAAGAAAGCAAACTTTTGTGTGTACATTCATGTGTGAGAGTGCACATGTAGGTACAAGTATGTATGATGTGAAAGTGCATGTGTGTGTGTATACATAGGTGTGTATGGAAGTCAGAGGTGTGATCCTCAGCTGCCATTCACCTTTTTATATTGTTTTATATTGAGACAAGATCTGTCACTGGCCTAGAACTGCCAAGTAGGCTAAGATGGCTGACCAGTGAGCCTGAATTGCCTCCTCCTCCCTACAACTGAGATTACATGTGTGAATCACCATGCCCAGCTTCTTTACATGAGTTTCAGGGACTGAACTCTGGTCCTGATGCTTTCAAGGCAAGCACTTTACTGACTGAGCTATCTTCTCAGCTCCAGAAAGCAAAACTTTTGAATGAGCTGTTGGCACATGTAAAAACATGAATGAATATCAGGGCTGGAGAGATGGCTCAACAGTTAAGGGCACTGACTGTTCTTGCAGAGGACCCGGGTTTGATTCCCAGCACCTACATGGCAGCTACAAACTGTCCTTAACTCCAGGTCCAGGGGAATCCGAAGCCCTCTTCTGACCTCTGTGGCATTGCACGACATGGGTGCACTCACATACATGCAGGCAATACACTCATACACATAAAATAAAAATAATAAAATACTCAAAAACAAAAAACAAAAAACATGAATGAATCTCAGAATTGAAGCCAGGCCAGTTTCATGGCATTTGTGTACTGTTCTAGAAAAGTGAAACTATAGAAACAGGTAACAGATCAGTAGTGGTGGGGTGCTAGGGGAGTGTTCAACTACACTGGAGCAGGACAAGGGGATTTAGGTGGGATTCAAATGCTTCTGTACCTTGATCATGATTACAATTTCATTTGTCAAAAATCAGAGAAAAATGGTCAAAGTGATTTTTTTCTGAATGTACATTTTTTAAAAAATTATAAATTATATACATATATATATATAGTGTGTGTGTGTGTGTGTGTGTGTGTGTGTGTGTGTGTTTCTTTCAAGAACCCTGACTAATACAATCACTCTATCCCATGTTTCTTAATGTGTCATTTAGGAGAGGAAGAGAAGTATGCAAGTTGGGAGGAATAGAGTTGGTAGGTGCAGACAGCTTGGGACATGCTTGTGTTCAAACTCACTTGAGGTCATGTGCCATGGCACAAATGCAAGTGAAGGTCAGCGGGCAACCTGGGGGAGTTGGCTCTTTTTCCACCATGTGGGTCTCAGGGATCAAACCAAGGTTGTCAGGATTGGTGGCAAGCACCTTTACCCAATAAGCCATCTCCCTGAGATGCACATTTTGTAAAATTAGAAAAAGAAGCTTTCACGGTGATGTGAGGGATATAAATATGAGATGCTTACAGAAACCAGGGCGGAGCCATTGGCAAGTGATAGCCCAGCAGCCCTAGCGGAAGAGGCCACTGAAAAGCTCCCTCCTTGGGCTTCTGAGTTCTGCCAGTACTACCCAGGGCCTGCAGGGCCAGGTAGGGTGTCTGTGGCTGGAATGGCAGCCTGGCTCACCAAGAAGAGGTGTCGGTCCTGAGTGGTGCCATTCTTGGCTGACAGTTTCTGGATCTGGCCCTCCTTGATCAGCTCGTTGGCTGGGTTGACAATGTCCTCCTCCCCACCCAGCTGCTCGTACACCTCCAGGAGCTTGTGCATCTTCTCCTGCAAGGGACATGAGACTCAGGCAGCAGGGAGATCACAGGGAACAAAGGTCTACTGGGGACTCAGAGGTAAGCAGAGCCTTGCCCTGCAACTGTGTGACCCAAAGCCACACTGGAGCAATGAAACTGCTGCCAATGAAAAGGGAAGGAAACACAGGATGACATCTGAGATGTGTGTTAAAGGGGGATTGGAAGCACATTATGCAAAGAATAATAAATCTCAGCTACCTCTGTGCTATGGGTCAGGGGCTGTTCTATACAATCTATGCTTTAACCATTAACAATTTCATTCTAACACAGACTCTATGAGGTGAGTTCCATTATTATCTCTGATTTACAGACAAGGAAACAGGCATGAAGAGGTCAGCTGAATGGCTATAACCCAAATTGGGCCACTCTACATATCACCTTTCCCAGGCCATGGTGACTTGTTGGGAGTCACAATGTCCAAAGGTATGATGGGACAAGGCTAGCAGGTGATGGTCCTTACAATTGGCTAGAAGTCAACATAACACAAAGTATATTAGAGCCTGTAGGGCCCTGACAATAGCAACATGGACTGGGTCTGAACCTGCTAGGCCTCATTAGCTCTGTCCTTGGACTTGAGTGATTTTTGCGTGGTCACCTAGAAGCAGGTAAGTCAGGTTGGTCCTTCTGTTTCTGGCACGGATGCTGTAGATGCAAATGAGCCAAACAGCTCATTACAGGATACATGAGACACAGGAGGGACAGGGCAGTACCCAGAACCTTGCAGAAGAGCTAGGTGTGCACCTGGAATGTCCTGGGGAGGTGGGGCATGCATCTGGCTTGCACTGGAAGGGCAGGGCCTATGCCTGTTTGGCTAAGTTTGCATTTGGTATTACTAGGGAGTATAAGGTGCACTTGGTGTGTACAGGGGAGTCTGGGTGTGTATGTGCTCACTGATGGATCCCACTTGGGAACAGGTGTAAAGGTGTTTTCTGACAAGGTCCACCCACCCTCACTCTCCTCATGCCTCCCTCTACTTTCCTTACCATCTTCCGAATGGCAGCATTAGAGTGGTCAGCAGCTGTGGAGATGAGTTCCAGGGACCCTGCATGAGGAAGACCAAGTGAGCCTGGGTACCCAGTTGCTTCTTCTGGTACGCCTTCTCACTAGAGAGGCAGAGGTAGAACCTACAAGCAAGCCTCAAGTGGGAGGCCTTGTCCTTGTACTTGGCCTTTCTCAGGGTGCTCAGACTGTTCCAGAGCACTAGCCCAGAGAAGGAATGAGGCCAGGAGCCCTTTTCTGGGCTTGCTGGATCAATACCACTTCTGCACAACCCCTGGCCCCGTGCTGCCCACCAGTTACATTGGTCATGGCTCTTGTAATGAGTGGCCCCGTGGAGTCCATTCCTGAGACCTAAGCTCTAATGGAACCAATGTTTGGCAGTATCTTTCCCAGGGCCAGTGTCCTTAAACGTTAGACAGAGACCAAATCACTTTCTGTACTATTCATTCATATTCTCTCTCCCCCTCCTCTCCTCTCTTCCTATCTCTCTCTCCAGTCTCTCCATCTTTCTTTGTGTTTTTGCTCACCCCCAGGGTTCTGAGCCACCTCCAGGGATCCCCCAGCTTCATGGCCACCACCACTCACTCTCAGCATCCTTCCGGTCTGGGGCATCCCCAGGGAGCCTCTTCAGGTAGTCCTTGAGCAGCAACTCATAGCGAGGGACCCTCTGCACAGGCTCCAGCATGTGGTGCTGCAGTGTTAAGTTTCCGCACACCTCTTGCTTCTGGGAGGTGGGACAGAGGACACATGTGGGGTCACCAGCCCTTCTCCTGCTTCTAGCCACCACAGTCCCAGGAGGCTACCTAGAGCTGCCTGGTTTTTTTTCAAACACAATTGTCATAGACCATATTTCACAGCTTGGGAAACTGAGGCTCAGAAATGCTGAATGATGGAGAGAGGACCCAGAACTCTTGGTAGATGGGCTCCAGTTGGAGAAAACAAATGCAAGACACAGCCTCCTCTGTAGGGCGGAGGCCAGCTGTGCTCCCACAGGAAACCAAACAACATCGCTTCTCATGCTTAGAAGCCACTGAGTCCTGCAGAGTCTCACAAGATGAATGAAAGAGAGGGCAGGGCGTGCTGAAAGCCTGGCATCCAGTGCCTACCCTGCACTGTTACTGGTGCCCCACATTTTCCCTCTTCCCACCAGATCACAGCTCCCCTCTTGCTCCACTTCAGTGCCTCCTTGCTGCTGGCAGCCACAGTCTAGACCCTTGATCCTGTGTACAAACACACCAGTGCTGACTGCTGCTGCCCTACTGCCTCTCTGCTCACCTCCAGCTCTCTGGACTGCCTTGTTCCTCTGCCTCCACCATGCTTAAGGCAGCTGAGAGGGCCTGCATTTGTCCCCCTCACCACTGTCCTGCCTCCAGCAACCCCAGGCCCCCACCTATACCTTCACACCAGGCCCAGAACTAAAATTTCAATGGAGATGGACTGAAAATGCCTTGGGTACAGCAGAGCTAGAAAGGTTCTAGTCTATAGCCTTCATTAAAAACTATTATTTCAGTGGCTGGGGAGATAGTTCACTGGGTTAAGTGTTTGCCACACAAATATGAGGGCCTGAGTTTAGATCCTCAGCCACTATGTAAAAAAAGATCTGGGTGTGGTGGTGTTCACTTGTAATCCCATTGCTGGGGAGATGGAGACAGGAAAATGCCTGAAGCTCATTGGCCAGCCAGCCTAGCAGAATCAGTGAGTTTCAGGTTCAGGGAGAGAGCCTGTCTCAAAAAAAAAAATAAGATGAAGAGGGGCTGCTCTTGCAGAGAAGCTGTGTTTGGTTCCCAGCAACCACAAGGCAGGTAATAACTGCCTGTAAGTCTAGTTCCAGGGAATTTGACGCCCTCTTTTGGCCTCTATGGGTATTTCAGACATGGGTGTACTTATATAATGTAAGTGAAATACTCATACACATAAACTAAATACATTAAAGAAATTTTTTTTGGTCTTTTTGAGACAGGGTCTCCCTGTAGCTGAAGCTGGCATGGATTCGTTATGTAGACCAGGCTGGCCTCGAACTCACAGAGATCACCTGCCTCTGCCTCCTGAGTGCTGGGATTAAAGGTGTGCACCACCATGCCCGGCCATTTTTAAAATTTTTAAAATAAAAAAGTACATCATTAGGATAGCTGGTAACCACTGAATGTGGGCTATGAGAAGACAGCACTGTGACACCCCATGAGATTCTTGATGTCAGTCACTGTCTTGGGCATGTGAGGGACATTTTCCTTCACACTCAGTGATAGAGAGACTACAGTGTCTGCAGATGAATTTCAAAAGACTCAAAAGACAGGGAGACCATCTCAAAAAAAGAGAGAGACTCAAAAGATAATAATTATTGTATGTGTTTAGAGAAAATGGTAAATAGGACAGAATGTCTGTTTGTAAGTTTGTCCTGTGTGTGCTGTGGTGTGTGTGTATGCATGTGTCTCTCACTGAACCTGGAGCTCATGATTTTGGCTGGGTATACTGACCAGCCCCTGGATTTACTGGGGTTAGAGACACATGCCACCATGCCTGGCTTTTTTGTGAGTGCTGGGGATCCAAACTCAAGTCCTCACACTTGCACAGAAAGCACTTTACACACTGAGCCATTTCTCCAACTTGGTCTTTTTTGCAAGTTTTTGGTAGATGTCCCAATCCCCTCCCCCTGAACGTTTACAATTTAAAATATAGTTTGGACTGAGCAAAGGAAATCTCCAGAGACTATGGGAAACGTGACCATCACTCAATTCCATTTTGGCCAGGTCAGGGCTTCTCAGCTTCAGCTATGGACATGTGCATGGGAAAACTCTCTGTTTTGTGTTGTCCTGTGCACCAGAGGCCAGCCCTGGTTTCCACCCTCCAGATATAAGAAACATCAGTTTCGACAGACATGGCCCAGGTTCTGGGGGAAAATGGCACCTGTAGAGAATGGCTGGTTGTACTATGGAGGCCAATGAGCAGAGCCATGGCTATGTCTATCAGGAACTGTCCTGGGCACTGCCCACTGCTCAGGACAACATGATGCTGAGGACAGCCAATGCAGACAATTGTCTGTCATCCCAATTCTAGAAGTATCTCATTACCTAACAGCCTGCTGGCCCCAAGGACTTGGTCTGTCTTGTGTGGACAGGGACAGTAGCCTGTGCAGGGTCTGGACACTGTCTTACTCTCTGGAAGGAGCTGTCTGAGGAGGTAACCAGAGGCCTACAAGGGAAGCTAGTTGATGGGCCAACCCAGAAAAGAAACCAGATGAATCCCAATTCTATCTTTTTTTAAATGTTCTTTCCTTCTTTCTTTTTTTTGGGGGGGGGGGTCTTTTTGAGACAGGGTATCCATGAGCCCCAGCTGGATTAGAACTTGCTATGTAGACCAAGCTGGCCTCAAACTCACAAAGATCTGCCTGCCTCTGCCTCCCAAGTGCTGGGATTAAGTGTGCGCCACCTTGCCTGGCTATGGTCTTAAAATATCAGGGTAAGTATCAATTGGCCAATGACAATTTGACAGAGGTCTAGTTCCTCAATTATAGAAGCAGTAGGTGAAGGAGAAGGGGGAAGAGGAAAAGGAGGAGGAAAAGGAGGGGGGGAGGAGGAGGAGGGAGAGAACAGGGATTTTGAGATAGCCTGGATATGGCAGAAATTGCTCATCAAAATCCATTCTTCTGCTTCACGATCCAATGATCTACCAGGAATAACAACTCGGACAGAGAACCTCATTTGCCACTCCTTCTGAACAAGGTAGGGGCAGGTAACTCCTCACCATGAAGTGGGGACAGGAATTGTTTGCCACTTCCAAACCAAGGCTTTTAAGAAACACATGTCAGGCTGGGAATACAACTTAGTGGGAGAGCTTGCCTAACATGCATAAGACACTGGGCTTGATCCCCTGCACTGCAAAAGAAAGAGGAAGCAAACAAAGAGGTAGGAGGAGGAGGAGAAGGAGGAGGGGGAGGAGGAGGGGTAGGGGGAGGAAGAGGAGGAGGAGGAGGAGAGGGAAACACAAACAGCAAACTTAAGCATCAGGACTAGGAAGGCCTGCCAGGCCATCTGGAGCTTGGTTTAGGGAGGAGTTGGGGGACCTCAGTCACTATCTCTCATGTTGATTATCAATAAGACTTCAAGGAGAACATACTTTATGGGGAAAAATAATCACATTGCAACTTATGTCCTAGAAAGTGGGCTTTGTCCTTGTTGCCTGTGGCAATACTGAGTCACACACCCACACGGGTCTCTGGCACCACTCTCCGACACATCCACAGGGTTGCTCTGAACATCCCAATGCTCACCTTTGTGACTAGAGTCTCAAGCAGTACGGGTTCCTGGGTGGGTCGGTGGTCAGAACATCCCATTGGGGATTTAATGAGGTTGGTTTAGACAGTCCCATGGGAACAGCTGGGGTAAGAGCCAGCAGGAAGGGTACGAGATATACCAGAGTGGGAAGGAAGGAGAAGGAAGGGTTGAGTTTAAGGGCATGGCTCTCTACTGGGGACCTGCACTGAGTCAGGAGTACCTACAACTTAGCTTGGGCTATCTTTAGGCCCCTAAATAGCCATTCCTTCCCCACTTCTGTGTCTGACCTAACATCCTGTGACTAACAGGTAAGAGAACCTTTTGCTTCTAATTTAACAAAATTCTAGTTTCCACTAATGGAAAAGCTAAGAGTGTCATGTAATATCCGAGGCCTATGGCTGCGATCTCTCGGCTTTGTTGAAACAGCCTGCTTAATGTTTCCACCAATGTATTTGAAAAATGCTTTGATTCATGACATTATTTGTTATGTTACTATAAAAACTTCATGAGCTGGGCATGGTGGCGCACACCTTTAGTCCCAGGCAGAGGCCGGCAGAGCTCTGTGGGTTCAAGGCTAGCCTGGTCTACATAGTGAGTTCCAGGCCAGCTGGGGCTACAGGAAGACCCTGTCTCAAAAAGACCTAAAAAGAAATAAAACTGCTCCCATGTTTGAGCATGGAATTTGTGATAACCTAAATCTGTGTTCCTAGGCCTTGGTCACTCATATTTGTCATATTTGGTTCCAGAATAAACTACTGATTTATCCTTTTTGAGATGAGATTGTGTTTTTGTGTGGACAGTTATTAGCGCCCAACATGAGGCCTCTGAGAATGACCCATTTTAAAAAATATTTTATTTTTATTATTTTATGTGTATGAGTGTATTGCCTGCATGTATGTAACTGCACCCGTGTTGTGCAATGCCGCGGAGGTCAGAAGAGGGCTTCAGATTCCCCTGGAACTGGAGTTAAGGACAGTTTGTAGCCACCATGTAGGTGCTGGGAATGGAACCCGGGTCCTCTGTAAGAGCAGTCAGTGCTCTTAACCGCTGAGCCATCTCTCCAGCCCTGAGAATGACCCACTCTTCACAAGAGGAGTCACCTGGATAGAAGTGTATACCGGCAGGGACCCATTGAATCCTGTCAGCTGGTGGACTCCTCAGGCAGATTGTGGTTCTTTCCAGGGCTTGCTCAGACCTCCCTTGGTTTGTTTATTCTGAGCTGGTTGTTTAAGGATCCTATTTGGCAGATATCTTTTTGTTTTTGGTTTGCTTTCAAAATGTTTAGTTTAAGGTATCTATTTTGTTTGTTTGCTTTGAAAGCATTTTGGTTTCAAACTTCAGTTTGTCTTTTGCTTGTTTTCAGATCTCTGAAGGTATATTAGAGTCTGACCATTTGTTTGTTAAACTTGCAAGCAGTCTTTTTTCTTTTCTTTTTTCTCCCCCCACCCCTGGA